TGTAGTGTAAAGTGCTTTAAGTGGTCATCAAGACTAGAAAAGCACTACATAAATACAAACCATTTACCATTTACACATGTCAAGTAAAATACAAAAGAAAGTGGAGCTGTGCATAAGTGTGTTCCCTAGGACAGAACTGACAAAGGCTACACTCGTTTTCTTTGAGCTTTTGCTGTGAACCTCCAATAAACCAGCAGCAGTGTTCTTGAAAGCAAATAGTTCACAAGGGAGTTCCCAATGTAGTCTGCCATCTTGGTTCTGGCAGTAGTAGATATTTTCCACCTGGTCCTATGTTCTAAAATTGAAATTTGGCAGAAATGTTCACTTCAATAATCAAGAATAAACTCATGACAATTTGGGGGTCATAGGTCACACACAAGGAATCTAACACTGTTTTCTCCCTCCCTGAGTTTACACATGAAAACAGTGAACATACAACAGAACAAGATAAAAGAAAACGTTCAAAGTCAAGTCTAATCAGATTTATTTATATACCACTAGTCAGTATGTCTCTCACTGGAAATGATTAACTGGAGTCATAAATATACTATAAAATACTATACTTCCATTTCACCAACAAAACACACTTCATACCTTTATTATAATTCTATATAATTATGATTTCACTATGTCTGAAAAGAAATGTATGTAAACGGAAATTTGACAGCTTGTCGGAGGCATACAACCAAATGCAGTGATTGTAATATTCAATTTATAAATACTTTTACTTTGGCTTTGATTCTAAGGAAAGGAAAGTATGCCCATCACAGGACTCGAAACTTAGACCTGAATATAAGATTATAAGGTTTGTAACGTCAGATTTAATTTTCGAAGATTATTTCAAAATTGTGTATTTTGCTTCAAGGCTGACTTTAGGATTTCAGGTTTCTTCTACTTGTCTTTTAATTTTATCTTTTAGAAATATTCGTTCATCCATTTAGTTATCCATTGAGTTTATAGTTATCTAAAATCTACAGCAGTAGTGTCATCTTGTTGGCTTGTGACCCAGTGGGGCCATCCACAACCTTTCATCATATGGTTGTCTATGAGGTGTGGATAGGTTAACAATAACAGCTGTCTTCCTTTTCAAATTGATTCAAATTAAATTAATTATCTTTTTGTTTCAGCAATATTATTTCTGAAATCAATGGTCCACCATGACATTCCTCACTACCCTATGTGCTGTTAACCTGAGCTTTAAGAAGTGTCTTCATGGCGTCTTTTATGATACAAACCACGGATAAAGACAGCTGACTAGTTGGGGGATTATTTCAGGATTTATTTTACAGCCAGGAGCTCTATTGTTATGAGTGTCCTGCATTGTGTAATCTGTGCCAAAATTAGAAGAGGCTGTCATCATAAAACACAGACCTTTTTAGCCTTTTTATTTCACCGTTTACTGAAACAAATGCATGTGACCTAAATATGATGATCGATGGAATAGAAAGAAGTTTGACAAAATAATCCCATTTCAATGTGTGTCTACTTTTCAATGAAACAGTCCTTTGGTGATGGAGGTTTCTAAATTGTCATGTAGCTGTCTCAGGTATCATCATGTGATCAAGGTAATTGATATTTCTCTCAACACTCCTGGTCCATGACCTTTGACCATTCCCCACTAGTTTTCATAGACAGCTAATTTAGTCTCTTGTCTTGTGCCCTGGAAGTTAGTGAACGACTAGATAACGATCCAGTAGGACATTCATACAGAGAGAGAAATTACTATCTCCCCCTAAATACAGCATTTTCTCTGGACTGTGGGAGGAAGCTACCTGCAGATTCCCAAGGCACGCACAGGGAGAACATACAAACTCCACTAAAGCCTCCCTAAGCATGATGCTGCCACCACCCTGCTCCACCACAGGGATGTTTTTGCCCAGGTGATGAGCAGAGCCTTGTGTTTACGAGCCACGTTAAGATCTGCATTAACGTGTCTTCAGTCATCCGATCGATCGCATGTGTTTGGCTCTACGTTGGTTCACACCTGGTAATAGAATGTGTCACCAGTTATCCGATCTCACTTTCCCTCGATATGCAAATAAATATATGAATAATTTCTGTTCACATAGACCAAATGATTGTCTTTTCATCCAGACTGTACACATGTGTCCATTATCAATGGGAGCGAGTCTGTGCATGAATATATGTATGAGATGCAAATAAGCTTTAATCATTTGAAGTCATTATGTGTCAGTCAGTGTTAATCTTGTCGCAGTGGGTATAACTAATTATTGTATGTGAGACACTGAGAGGTGTAGACATTTTTAAAGAATGTGCTACATGTGTCCACCACCTCTGAATGGTATTGGATCTCAAACATGTTCTCTGTGTGTCTTGGGTGTGTTCACACCTAAACTTAGAGCTGCCTACTGCTGTTCACCTGAGACAGACATTAATACAGAGCCTCAGTTCTGAGAGATCACCTGAATCAAGGCCCAGACTAATGTGACTTGAGTGACTGATCCAACTCAATAACATCTGAATTCCATTGATTACTGATGAAGGTGAGCTGTATATTGCCACTGAAATCTCCACAAGAAGCCTGTATGTTAACCTTTGTGATACGTTTTTGTAGTTGTGATTTCAGAGAGCAGAATGTGTTTGACTTTTGTACCTGTGTGCTGGCATCTTTAGGGCAGCTCTGCTGCATGGCCCATGCTGAGATGACGTTGAAGCCTTTGACCACTATAGAGTCCGGCAGCAGTGAAGCCAGATATTCAGCGTTTGACTCTGGATACTGGTTCACCCTCCTGTTATTACTCACATCCACCAGGATCTTTCCTGTAGGATGATAATGCAAAACACATGATTCTGCCATTAATGACATTAAATCTGTCATTTTTAGCTCATCTTGCACATTTTATTAGTTGCTTCAGTAAAGCCAATATCAGGACTATAATCGACACAATAATTAGTATTGTTAGAAGACAAATGAGGACCCTTTTTCCATGAACCGCTCATTTTTTTTGTCAAGTATGTTGTTTTAAAGACAGGAGGCATCAACACAGCCTTTACTTCCATAGAGAAAGAGAGGAAAAATGAAAAAAATTAAATAAAATAAGAGATTGTATCCTAATTTAAGTAAATACACATACAAACAGCAAAAAGGGATACACTGAACATCCCCTCTTTCCATTTCTGTGCAGTACATAGTAGATCACAGTAAAAGATGCAATACAAAAAATTTAATGGAATGATACAGGTTGTAGTATTCGGATGAATTTGCACTCGCTATGAAACAGAGGCACAGAGGCTCCTATTGCAGTAAATGTATGTAATTTCAGTCAGTCTCAAACCAGAAGTCATGAATTCTCAATTCAGTGGATCTCCTTCTTGACTTCAAAAGAACACGAAGGCAACAACCAGGTACAAACATATGATATTCATTGACTATCTACCACAGAGGGAAATATTTACAAGGATAACTCAAGAATATGCAAAACAGAAAGGATTTGGATTAATAGCAATGGAATAAAAAGCACATCGGTGGTTTCTCATTGAGACAACATCAGTTGTTCAGCAGCGAGTTCTAGCAGTGGTCTCAGTTGTTCAGGTTGAGGCCTTGTCTGCAGGCTCTCTCTCTCCCAGAGCACTGGGATGGAGCAGGCATGCTGATGGGCTGGTATTGGAACTGGTACTGTTCTATGCTCGACAGTGTCATACAAACTCTGGGAGAAATTGGGACTGGTCTTACTACACAAAAAACAAAGTAATTATGAAACTTATCAATTTAAAAAGATTAATACAAAAAAAGCATTTGTTGCAGTATACTTCTGATCAGCTGGCTGTTGATTTAAGAAAATAAAATATTGCACAGTAAAGTTACTTGTGGGTATAGGAAAAAGTAATTCTATAGATAAACTTGAATGGTAAGACCTTTAAAAAGGAAAGATGACAAGAACTAACTAAGTGTATAATAGTAGAAAAAGCAATAGAGTGTAAAGTAAAGAGGTGAAGTGAAAACAAAATTGAGAAGAGTCTGTGTCTGTTCATTGTTTTTGTCCCAGGGAAAAAAAACAAAGCAAATTAGAAGCTTATATGAGACTTAAACCTAACCATCTCGGTGAAGGAATTTAATGGACGTCTACCACAGTTTGTCTTATTAGTAACAACCCCCACTCTTTGTGCCCTCTAGTTTCTGACATTAGAATCATATTGGAGAGGGATCACTTCAAAGCCAACGCAGACAGAGGGAATGATTACAGTGGCCAAAAATCTGAACCTTTCTTTAATATAGCTCAAATTCATCATAGTTAATAATTAATACAGCTCCAACTCATCATAGTTAGCATGTCCATTTAACATGTCTTTTTCTTGAATGATCTTCAGTTAGCTTTTCCATTACTGTAGTCAAAGGTATGTTATGTGATTATGCACTTCAGTCGACTGTGAAGAAGAGGTGTCTTTAATTAGATGGCTATGTTCTGAGTGTGTGTCGGTACCTTCCAGTAGATGTTTGAGGTCCCACAGGACAGCGTAATGCTCACGTCGGATTGCCAGGAACACGATACTGGCTTTCCCCACAGCGTCTTCATGGTGTGTCACGTCCACCACATGGGGAAATGACTGGGCTGCCAGTTTGGGATGGCGGCTGCCCACCACCACGTGGAAACCACGGCGCAGCAGGCGGTTGGTCAGGCTCTTGGAGAAGTCACCTGAGCCCAGGATGGCCACTGTAGGCTGGGTAGACACACAAGTGGTGCCAGTGTCTCCAACTCCATTCTTAACGCTGTTGGGCAGGAAATAGGCCTGGGTGTGATGGAGCTGGTGAGAGGAGGAGGCTGTGAGGAACATTTGGCTCCTGCTTCCACCCATCATAGAGATAGAGTCCATCCTTCCTCCCTGTTACTTCTTCTATGGTTTTTGGGTAAGGAGGATTTCAGTAGGTCTGAAGGAGGTAAGCACAAATGGAATTTTTGCAACATTTATTGGGTTCTCTCAGGAATATTTTCTTGACATCCTTCACACAATTACAGGAAGGCATTAGTTTAGGCCAGGTTTTCATTTCAATTTGTAGTTTTAACCTTGGCTACACATATTCATTGCACTTCTGAACAGATTGATGTAAGGCTGTGGCACAAATCATAAAGTGGTGCATTTAGATAACCTCAAGAAAACTTTACACTTTAAGAAAGGGCTAATGTTAATAGCCATTGTGTCCTGCTCAACCCGACTTGATCTTACTAGCATAATTTTATCATCATCTATTAAATCATAAGTGCCTTGTATTCGTGATGGCTCATTGCAAAAAAAGACCTTGTGTGTGTGGGTGTGTGTGTGTGTGTGTGTGTGTGTCATGGTCATCCTACAGTGGCTACCATCACGTGCTGCAGCAGCTCGCTAGACGGTGATCAGAGGTCATCCGTCCACCAGGAGACGTAGCGTCTCGTCATACTGACCTTCTGTCTGCAGAGACCTTGTGTTCTTGTGAAGGACACGGCCGCGTGTGCACGGGCAGCCTGTGTGCACCTGTAGCGCCGCAGTGCGGCCGCTGCTGTTCCACTGTGGAGCCGCACAACACAGCGAGAAGAGGAAAACACATGGACCGTCCACGCCGAGGCTCCACACACTGTGTGACCCACCTGTCAGTCACACAGAAGCGGCCGTGCTTCTCCGTCCATCCTCCCGCTGCTGATGATGCTCAGCCTCCGCGGTCTCGACACGTGCTGCGTTCATGAGCTGTCGGAGACAACAGCTTTGCTCTGGAAATAAATGCAATTCTCCGACCAAAATAAAATCCATAAATAATCAGAAAAATGTCAGTAACACAACTAAAACAACGAAGCTAACCTAAGTCTAGACAATTAACATGTAGAAAGAAATAATAAGAAAAATAGATTATATGAGATGATATATAATATCTTAGATTGTATCATATATATTATATTATATTATATCATAAATTATCAGAGCCACAGTGCAACAGAAAGTTTCTTGCACAACCAAAGAATGTCTGCTCAGAAATACATAATATATTTTTTGACTAACCATTCATGTTATCTTTCCATAAGACTTTGGACGACATCACTCTCTTCTACCACTGAAAGCATTATTGAGATCATATCTAAAATACACAGCTTTGAAACATAACTTGAGTCAACATGACCTGGTTTGTTTACTTTCAGTGTGACACTGGATTTTTGACTGTCTGACAGTATTTTCTTCTGAACATGTTGGATCTATGTTAAGATGTATACTTACACTCAGTGCATGAGGATAAAACAAATCCTGAAAATGGTCCTGGTTGTTAAAAAGACAAATCTAACTTATTAATGACATTAAATAAATTAATTTAATCGAATATTGAGCCTAACATGGTCTTCTGCATTTGTAGACCATGATCCACCTCAAGGCAAGAGGCTTTGTTACATACGCTTATGTTATGGAGCCTACATTGCCATTGCTGTTTGTCTGTCTGTTAACTTAATTACCAATTTAATTAAACTTTTAGGGTTGGGTACAGGCCAAGGTAGAACCCATTAGCTGTTTCACGTTCTTTAATATTGTGTTACAGGGAATCAACCTTGGCTGGAGTATGTACTCTCAGAGTTCCCTTCTACTTGATTCTGAAATGGTTCTCTTCTTAACCACATTTGAAATAAGTGGTCAGTGAGTTACCAAAGCCTTTCTGTCTGCTCCAACCCCAACATCAGTGTGTGTTTGTGTGTGTGTGCAGGGTAGGTAGTCATTTCTGTCTAAGGGCCGTAACACAACCTCAACACGTTTTGTGTCAGCAGTGTAAATAGAAACATTGCATTGATGCATTTCCCCTCCACGAACAGCTGGGGGCAGTGTGCTGGTGAGGGCGGAGGGATTTGTACACAGTTGAGCAGGGAAATGTGCCTGAACTCTAAGATCTATATCCATTCAAAGCACAGTGTCTGACTTGCTCCTACACATCCGCCGCAATGTTCCTGGAAGGCGCTGCCTTTGCTGTTCTGCTCATATGTTTATGTTTTATGATCCGGTTATATTTAGTTGTGAAGACTGGATCAGAGCTGAAACCTGGAAGCAAAGGTCCGATCGCTGTTCTCGTCGTTGCAGGATCAGGTGATTTTTTATGACATTAACTTGACACATGTCCTCATCTTAGATGAAGCTAAACAGTCACATTCTTGTGAGTCGCGTCACCCACCGCTGTCAGATTCTATAGCTCAAACGCTGACAAGCCGAATGTGTTTCCATGTTGTGCTATTAAGGGACTTCCTTAGCAGCCATGCTAACAACCATACGTAATGTGGAGTGTACCAAAACATCGGCGAGGATGAGGGGGGTTTAAACGAGACCTCTTCCAGGGTTATTGGATTTTTTAAGTATTATTTCCCCTTTGCTCTCAAGTAAACAACACGTGTCCATAACAAGAGCAAATCACACATCTCCTCAAAGTTCCGCTGTGAGAAACACCAGGAATGTTATATTTTCTGGTCACAGTAATGATAACAGATGCACTGCACGGTCCAAATAACGTGGACATCTATCTGCTCATTCTTACCATGTGACTTCTACATATTCATTAAGCTCCTCTGTCTCTACCAGACATCAGGACCTTGCTGTGGAGATGTGCTCCCTGTCAGCCTCAAGAGAATTAGTGAGGTCCAACACTGCTTTGATGTGGCTTTGATGCTAATCTGAAGATATAATCTGTTATTGAGATGTTGAGGAATCTGTGGTGTTGATTGGAATAAATAATTTGTTATATGTCAACCTACTAAAACAACAGTGTGTCCTGTGTGTTTTCCAGGTGGTCACACCACAGAGATCCTGCGGCTGATGGGGAGCCTGTGTGCGGCCTACACACCTCGACACTATGTCATTGCTGACACTGACCAGATGAGTGAGGAGAAAATCAGCACATTCGAGAGCTCGAAACAACACTCAGACTCTGGGTCGCAGGTACACAGCTGTCTATGTTCTGGGCTTCCCATGTTTTATCAGATGGCAGCACTGTCTCAGATTTTGCTCAAACCTGATCTATATCATGAATTGGTTCCAAAGACAATGCCTGGAAAGCTGCTTTCATGGTGTATGTGTGTATGTGAACACAAATGTAAGAGCTTCTGCGATCTTTCTGTGAGTGAGTGGGCTGATGAAGATGCAACAGATGCAAAAATGAATAAAACAAAATGAGAAGAGATTTTGAGGGCCCCAAACATTTTATAGACAAACCTATAATGGTGCTACAATTAGTTTGTGCATTTTCTGCAGGTGGACAATTTTAATAGAAGGTGGGAGACCCGACCTACTGCTGTCAGTTAACTGCAGCTCTGACTGCAGTATTAGAGTATGAATGAAATGTGGTTTAAAGCTGCTTAAACAATTCAAAGACTGAATATGGATATAACTATCATCAGGTAACTGATATTATATTTATATTGTAGTTGTGAAGCAGTAATTTGAGATCATTGCTCAGTCAAATCATTTCATTAAACAACTTTATTATAAGGCAGATATGCCCTTATTCAAATTCAGACATCAGGTCCTTTTCCATTCCGCCAGCATAAAAGTGGAGGATATACTAATCAGTATATTTGTCCGTCTATAATCAATTGCTTCCCGAGCAGACACCTTTTTGGATTTTTCATGAAACTTCACAATTATGTTGTGTAATTATTTTCTGTATTTAAATAAACAAGTTAATAAATTTTAATTATGTGATAAATGAGTTGATTGGAAAAATCTTCTCTCCCCTCACCGATATAATTACCAAATTATCAAAATGTCAATTTACATCACAAAATAGTTGTATTTATAAGCCTGAAAACATTGGATAAGAAGTTGTCTTGGAATCAGTCTATGCTTGGAATGTATAATGTTAAGAACAGTAAAACCCAATAAAGTCACTTGTGACATGGTCGCAGTTCTTCCAGATTTCAACTCTGTTTCCTGATTAGCTTTTGATATTTTGGTGTGTTGCATTTGTTCTTTTACTTATTGAGATGTATCTTGAACAATTAACTGCTTTGAGATCTTTATCACACATTGGTTAACCACATCATAGAGGAGTGTTACTGTTCACCAGCAGGGGGCACAAGTACACTATGATCAATATGTGCGTCGCTGATGTTGTTTCAGTATCTCATACTGATGCCTTCTTTGTGCTTATTTGATTACCAATGTGGAATAACTGTAATGATCAGGAATATCTTTTTAAAACTTAATGCAAACACACATTTGCGGTTACGTGAATTATTTTCAATGAAATGACGTACACATTAAGAAGAAAATAAGTAAGAAATAATAGATATACGAATACCAGACACAATTATTTATGAATACATTTAAAATAATTAAGAAATCACATGCCAGAAAATCTTCCTTTTATAAAGTTTAGTCAGCCACAAAAATCAATGACCCATATTCAATGCAGGAAAAATCATTTGTAACTTGCAATACAATACCATTTAATCATTTATATATTTAATATTAAAAATAAATTAATAAATTAATCGAAAATTGAGGAAGTTATGAAAGCAACCATGTGTTACAACCCTGCTTTTTATATTGATGGTTGTTTATTGATATTAGAGGGATCCAAATTTCCAACTCCAGGTGTGTTAGGTGTTGCAACTATTGATTATTCCCATTAACAATTTATTTCCTGATTATTATTTAAAAGCATTTGGATGTATGAAAATTTACTTAAATGTCAAATTTTCTCTTGATTTTAATTAATTCGATGAATAATCACATGTTCTTCTTGTTTTGTAGATTTTTTTTACTTTAGCATATTACCTTTATTGAAGAGCTAACAGTGCAAATTCAGATATTATTTGCGATCATGCTTGTGCATGGATCTCAACTTTCTACTTGGAATAAATCAGGTTCTTAGGTTCTCTTTTATACATTGTATTTTTAATGCCTTGAGCACCACATGGAAAACTTTATCCATATCCACTGTATTTGTCTTGAGGCGTGATTGTGTGATTGGAGGTGGACTGAACCTTTATTGTCGAGTAGTGTCGTTGAAATAACAGAATCATTGGAAAAGTCCATGATTGGTTTGTTTGTGTGCTGGTGAGAAGCTGCGCAATCTGAGATGTGAGAGTTTTATCCAAATACATTGAGTTGTGTGATGAGTAATGTATTTCTGTTGTGCAATTCAAATGATCATGTGTCTGAGACAGGTGATAGAAACCTTCCCTTGTTCCACAGTTCACCATCTGTCGAATCCCACGGAGCCGGGAGGTGCATCAGTCTTGGACTTCCTCAGTTGTCAGTACGCTGAATGCCCTGCAGTACTCCCTCCCTCTGGTGTTCAGACTCAGACCTGACATGGTAAGTGGACACACAAGTCAGTAGCTGTGACTGACTATTACAATGCACATGTACCACAGAGTATTGCACAATAAGCATGGATGAAAATGACCATATGTTGTTGGTTGCATCATGGGATTCAGGGTTGCATGGCTTGACCTATAGAGACTAGAAGTCAGGGTATCAAACTCCTTTAGTAAACTCTATAAAGATGGATTCATTCTGGAAGAGCACAAATCCATCCAGCACCATCTGGCACTTGTAGCAATATGCAGGTTACATACAGATATAAACACATCAATTCCTCCTCATGAAACACACAATGCTGACATTTAACTTGTGTTGCACAACGCAATCATGCTCATTGAGTTAAGCAGCATCTGTCTCATTCATAGATGGCTTTCTAACAAATATCCCCATTCCCGGAACATATTTAGCAATATCTAATTTTAATCCAGAACATTTGATTAGTGCAAAATGTCATTTCAAAACAACTAACGCCTCATGCACTACACGCCATGACTTTCATGGTCAATATCTTTCTGCACTATTCACACTGCACAACTGTTTGTCCTCTAATCATGAAACTTGAATTTGTTCTGGTTTGCCCACTACATCACACAAATTACAAGATCTTTGACCAGGAATCCCCAACAAGAGTGTCAGCGCTCCAAACTACATTGAGTCATGGTCGCACACACCAAAAGAGTCACAGGCCATGCAAAAACTCTAATCTATGGTTTGATAAATCTTTGATAAAGAATTCCCAAAATGATTTGTGTATTAGTGTTACAGTGACCACCCACTTTTAGAATGGCTCTTAGCTTTAAGACTGGAACCAGGCCAACCAGCTATGAGATTAGTCTGGACCATAAAACATTTGATTCAGAGGCAAAGAAATATTGGAAATGGAAAAAAGGCAAAGATACAAGACTGCGTACTTAATTGTTATAAGTGAAGAATGTACGCATCCGATAACCAGTTGTGAATGATCCCTTTCCAAAGACTTCCAGTAAGCCTCGTCTTGACTTTAACCTTGTTGTTCATATAGAGTTGTGAAATGTTGTATTTGTTTATATATATCGTTTCATTTTGTGTTTAGAGTAGTAACCTAGTTTAACGAAGCTGAACGATCTGATTGTAGCCGACATGAATTTCATGGTTGTGCTATATATTTGTATGGTAATAGTTAGCTCTACCGATTACAGACATCACTATTACACCTGAGGATTGTGGGTAATATAGTACTTCTTGGCATTGCATATGAAACACATTTCTCCCAGAAAGCAGTCGATATCAAAAGCCATCTCAGACATGAACTCCCGAGGATGTCCGCAGATTTGGGATTGGATTTATTTCCTGAGTTTGCCACTCACATATGAACGATGCAGCAGGAGATTCTCAGGTCAGACTCGTTCTGGTCTCAATCGTTCACCAAAAGCTTTCTTGGCATCTTGGTCAGTTTCTTCATAGATTTTGTGGCATAGATATTATAAAAAGATTTTTTGACCCGAGGTATATACATTCTTTCTGTTGCTTGTTTGCAATATCGTTATTGTTAATCTAAATCTCTATTCAGAAAATGAATGGGATATATACTTCCTGAACCAGGCTGTTGAGCTCTTAAGAACAAATGTTGTTTCAATATCAATATCATATTATCTGGAAAAGCATATAGCTTTTGTGTCTGCCTGTAATTCAGATTATAATCACTTCAGGATAATTTTTTGTAACAGGGGATATCCATTCTTGTGTGGGATTTCCCTCACTCATTGGCTGGAGCTGGTCACCGCAACATTGCCAGTCAGACTTCCAGATTTGGACTCGGTGACAGGCCCAGGTATTTAAACTGCAAGATGCCTGCCAGCATTCAGTGACGCAGCAGCAAGTCTCTCAGACGTCTTTGACGTCACCAGAGTATGTAGAGCCCTTTGTTCACAAAATTGATAACCAGATCTAATTTTCTCCACTTAAAGCTCATTAGACAACATCTGCTCCAGAATATATTTCATTTCTGAAGTATTGTGAGAAGTCAATGTACAGTCAGAAGAATGTGCTGAATGTGGGAAAGAGTCTGGAAAAAGATGCCTGTTTGTTGTGTCCATGTTGGAACATACAACATGATAGAGTGACTTCACAAAGCATGTAGACATCTTCACTTTTAGTAGGTTTTATTGTTGTAGATTTATTTATAAATTGATTACTAGACTGGCACTCAGTAAAGTGCATACAACCACCAAGGTCCTACAGTCCCCTTAAATGTGGGTCAGAATCCATTCATTATTCCCTGGGATCAGTGGAAATAGTAAAAAATAAAATAAAATCAGCCTCACAACGTTAGAGAGTTAAGAAAAAAATCTGTTGGCCATCTTTCTATAACATCGATTCAGTAGTTGTAATGTAACAGTCAAACAAAAAGACAAATGGCAATGAAAACATAAGGAGGCAACAAGGTGGAGTTAACAAAGTAAAATGTAGAGATTTATTATTTCTCAAAATCAAAAACTGATATCTCTCATTCATAAACATTTTCACAACCTTTGTCTTCACCTGCTGCAAATTAAATTGTTTGTTGTGTTGTGCTGGCATTGTTCAACTCCTCTGACTTAATGTAGAATCCACATATTGTCCTTACATCATAAAGTCCAAGGACGCCTGGTAGACAGACATTCACATAGTATATTGTAAATGTACATGGGCCAAATTCAATATAAGTGCGATCTTTTCCTATAAAAGATGCTCTTGATTCTCGGCTTACATGAATCCGTGTCCGATGCGCTCCAGTGCTGTCAAATGTTTTCAAATGATCATGAAATCCAAACACCTTTCTCCTCTGGTTCAAGATCTTTATTTCCAAAAAACTTCCAACTTAGGTGTTTGTTACCGCAGCATGGAGTGACAGACAGGTCACATCAGTTGATTTCTTTCTTTTCCATCCGATCAAACAAAAACAAACATTGCTTAGCAGCGGTCTAAAGCTGTATGGCTGTATGCCTGAAACTGAGAGCTCCAGGCCCCAATAGCCAACACTAATATACCACAGGTGCTGCAGTCACCTGTCTTTAAAGAGGAGGCGGAGGTGAGAAGAGGCATCAATCATGTACAGCTGTCAGCTTCTAATAATCAAAACTAGCCATAATTTCACAACTTCATAATTGTTATCAATTCAACTAATAATTCAAACCAGAATATTTCATGTTCATGTCTCATAATTAATCAGATAAATAATAATAGTAAACCAGATAAAATAAAATATTCATCAAAACACAAATCAAGCATTTGGCTCCAACAATCAACATAACTAAAACAAAACCACTTCCACGGTGAACTGACACATACAGAAGACAAGGTTCAAACAGTGTCATTATTTCTTTAAATGGAGCCTGTAAGTAAAACCTCACAGCAGCTCTCAGACATGGAGGCACAAAATGACTGTTTGTGTTGGGCAGCTGTGCAAACCAGCCATCCATCAGATCAAACACCTCAGAGATGGTCTGTGAGGAGATGACACGCTGAAGCCAGCCCAAACATCAAAGTGATGCTGCTCTTTCACATTTCTCCTGAATTCACTGCTGTCACTATAGGAACTGTAGGTTTAACAATTCTTCCTGCTCACAGATGTGTGATGATCTGACTAGTTTGAGCTTGAACATACTGATGCTTGGTTCCCACATTTGAGAAACACATAATTGTATACACACTTTCTCTGGAGGAGGTGCATGTATGAACGTAAATGTCCAAGTGACAGCCTCTGGATTTTCTGCAGAATTTCTCCGCCTGGCCCACTAGTAAAAAAAACAAAGAGAAAACAAATATCAGAGGGTGAAAAGGCACAGCCATACACGTAGGAGACACCGAAGAAGATGCCAAGAGAGTTTGTTAACGGTTCCTGCCTCTGCCTTCTGCACCCGGCTGCACCACCCCTCGTCTGAGTAATGCGGAGGATTTGTTACTGTTGTGAACTCATCTGTGCAGAGAACCTCACGCTGCGTTGTACATGTGTGAAAGGCAAAGTGCGAATAAAGCCCGAACCCAATTCTCTGGACTTTACCGAAGTTCATGTCTCAAAACAGCTATACTACTCAGGGGCATGTGACCCCTGTCACCAGTTAGTTCTGTAGTGTGAACTCACAACGACTGCAGGACTCCCGATCAAAATACAGTTTAATGTGTAGTGTGAACTCTCAGCAATCAACCAACTTTGAAAGTCATGTCGTGTGAACTTGGCTTTGGTGATATCCATGCAGATTGTTTGGATTTTATGTGTCCAAGTTGTGAAATATCTGCCTCTAAGATATCTATGGTGATTAATTGAATTGAGGTGTTGGTCCCAACAATATGAAGTTATTTAAAAAACTTTTAAAAACATTAACCTTGCTGTTACTCTGGGAATTCCAATAAATATACTGGGGGCAGTTTTCAAATGCACTGAAAGCATAATTTCCAGTGAGTAGTGTTGACAGTGATATCTGTGCACTTTTTTGTGTTTGTGTGGAGCCAAAATTATCTGGGTAAAGGAAAATGACAGTAACAACTCTGTGGTGTACAACACTCACTTTTAGTCAGTGAAGTGTCTGTCCAGCTTTATTTGTGGCTAGTTGGAAACAGAGCCAGGGACTTACCAGAAATGCCAGAAATGTTCCAGCCAGGCTTAAAGGGATAGTTCACCTAAAAATGAAAATTCACTCTTTATCTACTAACCACTATGCCGATGGAGGGGTGGGTGAAGTGCTAGAGTCGACAAAACACTTCTGGAGTCTCGGGTAAACTTTGTTGCAGCAATCCGATACAATTAAAGTAACCGGCGACCTATACTCCAGATGTCATGAAACAACAGAAAAAACATAATGCTTCTATATTGCTCGTGTGGTGTCATCCAAGTGTCCGTTAGCCCCAACATTCATATTTGACTGCAAACAACACCATTGAGACCATGTTTTTAGACTGATTGTCCATTGATATCTTCCTACAAGATATGCTCACGGAACCTCAGACATACCATCATGTGGCTACGTCTGCTAGCATTGCCACTTCTGGTAATGGACTTTTAGGCTAAAAACTGGGGGCTACCACACAGTTGTCGATGGTCTTAGTAAGGTCATGGGTGGGAGAGCCCTTCCCTGGAAGGAAAAGTAGCTCAGTCTTGTCAAGGTTGGTTTTCAGGTGGATTGCAGACATCCCCTGAGAGATGTCAGTCAGACAGGCAGAGATTCATGCTGCAGACACAGCAAGGAGGGCAGTCTCAGTTGAGTGGCCGACCTTGAAACCAGACCCGTGAGGATCAGGAAGGTTGTTCTGGTGAAGATAGGAAGAGAGTTGATTAAAGAGAGCATGCTCGAGTGCTTTGGGGAGAAAAGGAAGAAGAGAGACAGGTCTGTAGTTGTTTAATTTAGATGGGTTGAGGGTGTTTTGTATGTAAAGTCTTATGATGGCATGTTAGCCAAAAACGTAATCGTGAAACGTAAACTGCATATCTATAGTACTCTATAGGACTGATACATTTATACTGGCATAGCCGTCAGTGTATCAAACCAGGATTGAACTGCTGACATTCTGGTTAGTGGACAACATGCTGTATCTCCTGAGCCACAGCTGCCCTATTCTGAATTCTACATTGAGATTCAAATCTTAGGACAAAGCCCCATGTTTAGGTGAGAAAACTTTACAGACAGGTGGCTTTAAAGTAAAATGTTATATTTGATTGAATAACACTTGCTTGCAATCAGTATATCAAGCCTGCGTCACACTGACATCCACAAACAACAGACAACCTTACATTCGCAGTTGACCACATATGCCATGCCAACCACCAAGGGTGCCATTTTTTAAGTTCTATGGGTTTTGCTACAACCTCAAGAACATTTCTTTCCCTGAATGTAAAGATTTATTTGTGCTATTGTTACAGCAGCACTGTTCTTGTAAAATCCCCTCAGGTGTCCAGGTGAATACCAGAAATCTAGCCTGGGTTTCTCATTTTTATGGTGTAAGAGGTGAGGTTACTGGAAGCAAGTTGGTAATTACCAGATTATGTGAGTGTGTGTAAATTAGGTGCCTGGAAATAAGATTTCCATCTCCACAATGCTATTTACTGCTTCCAGAGAGAGCTTAAGATCAAGTGGGGAAAACTGCTGTTGTTCATGGCATATACTTTAGTTTTATTTACTGCAATGACCACAGTATTTGTCTTGTTAACAAGTGAAAGGTTTGTAATCTTAACATTGACATTAGCTGTGACCTGAACAATTCATCTTGTGAATGTGGATTTGCTGTTCTATACTTTTCAACGTGAGAGTGATGCAACTGTTCCACTTTCAAACTGCAGTGTGCAGGGCACAATGCTGATGTACTGCGGAGTTGTATGATGACTTCTCCAGACTACAGAGCAGCTCAGCCTGGTTTCCTGTAAACCCAACACCCGCAGTCCCCCTCTAGCCATGAGGCTGCTTATTCATCTAAGCCCCCTCCCCCTTTGTCTTTGAGTCTTACTCAGCTGCCTCTTAATGCCAGCTTCTCCAACCCTGCCTTTTTAATCTTTCCAATTTGTATTTAACAGATTTCCGCACTCTGAGTGTTGAGGAGCAGTTCAACTCAAGGACCTTTACCTTTAAGCACACCACATACCTCTCCAAACCCTAGTGTCTTTTTTCAGCTAACATCAGCATTTTCCAGTCATATCAACTACTCAAAGCACTTTACAGTTGAAGTTGGGGACAATTTAGGGGAGGTGCCAGGTATTGAACCACCACTTGTTAGTGGACAACCCTCTGTACCCACTGAGCCGCCTCAACATAAGCCATTTTCAGTCATGACCTGTGTAGGATGTCAAGAGAATTTGGTCTGGACTTTCTGCACAGGGCGCATCACACATGAACAATGCAGCAGGAGCTCTTCTTCCAGAGCCTCTCACTCAGACATTTGCGTTCTTACATGAAGCTCCTCCCTCTGGAGAAGGTCTGGAGATTATCCAGGGTTCATTTTATGTCTGAAAGCAGCTACAAAGATATGAGTTCTGTGACAGATCCCCAGATCAGCTAAGACACCACTTTCTATGTAGCTTATGCAAAATGGAGTCTATATGTCACTTCATGGAAATGTGCTCACCCCCCCCCCCCTCTCTCTTTCTCTCTCTCTTTCTCTCTCTCTCTCTGTGTTGTTTCAGGTGCTGTGTAACGGTCCAGGGACTTGTGTCCCCTTGTGTATGGCAGGACTCCTGCTTGGAATTCTGGGAATGAAGAAAGTTCTTATAGTTTATGTTGAAAGTATTTGCCGGGTGCACACACTGTCACTCACAGGGAAAATCCTGTACCCGATATCAGACTATTTCTTTGTGCAGTGGTCTTCTCTGAAGGACAAATACCCCAAATCCATTTTCCTGGGAAGAGTAGTCTGATAAAATCTATGACACAAACTAAACACAAATACAGAATGAAATGTTATGCTTGTTGTAATTAATATGAATAAATACTTTTTACATTTTTGTCATTTATTTTTTCATTATTTGTTACATTTCGTATAGAGGGCATGGTCTAACCATGGTATACTGTCTTTGACAATACATAGGAAATCATTTGCTGTCTTTATTTAAAGCAAAATAAAAAATACTGTATATATAATTGCCATAATGAGATGGACGAGCAGTGCACTCTGCATTTACATGTTTCTCTCTGCTACAGGTTAAATAATTATTTAAGGAAAAGCTGAAAACCCCCAAATAATAATTGCAGTGTACAAAACTTAACCTTTGTTAAAAAACAGTGGATGCCAAGCACATGTTATTTAGAAAAACAGGCCCATTTTATTTGTTAAAGCTGTGGTTAAACAATATTCAAATTTTATAGTATGTACTGTGAGGCATACTGTCAGAACAGTCTTGTCACTCAGGGCATCTCTACCACCAGTTCAGTTATTAGTCCCACCCAGATGTGCACAATTGGGCTTCTGAACAGTAAATTAGTGCTGTCAGTTATCATGTAGCAGAGACAAAGTGGTGTGGCTGATTTTGTCCCTTGCCATCAGTTGAGGAATATCACTTGATTTTAGGACATTCAAATAAGAATGGTTGTCACTCATGGGGACATATCGATCACACAGGTCACTTTTAATGTCACTGAAACTTACAACACATCACAGAGTGACCCATTTCCTGGAGTCAATTACAACTGTTTAAATAAATTTCATACAGGTAATATGCTGCTTGCTGCTTGCAGGAATAGAGCTATTACAATCTCCATTCTTCTCATTCATGATGCCTCTTCATTGACACCTCAGAGTGTTGCCCCAATGGTGACCTCCTCTTTGTTAGCACCCTCATTACCAGCATTCTGCAGCACAACCCATCTGTTTTCAAAATTTGGGAGTCTAACCAGGGGCAACCTCACTGGGCCTCTTTCATGTCAGTGCAATATCGATACAAATGAGCGATTCACCGGAAAGTGGGGACTTAACTCTGCTGCCATCCTCCTCCACTATGATCTTACTCCTTTTTCCAGCACCAGTAGGAGAATGGCACTGAAGGAGGAAATGAACAGTTCTTCTTGTTCCCCATTATTATGTTTTTTGTTCGCTACTGCTCTGTGAGCTCAGCAGGTGCCAGGCTCCAGCCTCCACAGGAAGGCTGACAAGCATTTAAAAAAATGTCCATAAGATCTTGGTGTCTGCTCTAATGTTTAAATGTAGGAGTTGCAAGTCCAGAGACGAGGGCTTGGAATGGAACTCACCCGACTCCTGGAAAAAGTTGCATCAGTGCACTAGATGGTTCCTGATTTTGATGTTGGTGGCATGCCTGTTGTCAATCCCTGTTCACCGTGCTGACACAAATCACTCCACATTCTAGTACAGAATGTTATAGTTTCCACAAGCCAAAAGGCACCCCCTCAATTTCCAGGGCATAGGGCAGGTAGTTTGTGTGCATTCCTCAATAGACAAAAAAAATTACAAATAGCAAAGTAGTACATGGAGGAAGAGAGTTGTTATTCAGTCAAATAATAGAAATAGAAATGAGACAAGCAACATGCTACGCTAAGTTATCAGTCTGTGATCAAAGTTTAAACTGGGACTGTTAAGGTCAGAATAAAAGGGTTTATACTGTTTTGGTTAACAGAGGACTGAACTGAGATTTAAAGAGGTTTAAAATTAATTCCTTTGAGTCTAAAACTAGCTTTAAAGCCTAGTGCTGAAAGATTATAAAAGAAACCAAATTTTAATCCAGGTATATTGTTAAATATACTGTACACTGAAGGTCAATAGAGAAAGCAACAAAAATATGGTGTTTATAAGCCCAAATCATACACAATATGAATGAGAAAAGATTTATCTGTGTAGATGTAGACTCTAAAAATATTACATCAATATTGCAATATTACATCATCTCATGTTGTGTATCAGCTGGATGTTTGACAAGACAAGTTTTTTCTATCTACAGTAAGTGCAGAATATGTGTCAGCATACCTTGACATTGCATTTCGATCCCTTTCCCTTGTGAAAGATCTCTATGTGATCATGTGTAATCATGTGTGATCAATCTTCTTATGAAGACTATGAATTGTCCATGGAAGCTTTGATGAAAATAAGCAAATAGACCTCAAGGTTGGATTATTTTGTTCAACTTCTCTTCCTAAACGCGACAATGAACCATCATACTCATTTTATTGCTCATTTTTAGATATTTTCAGTGGATGTAAATCTATAAAGTTAGAGCTAAAAGAGATAATGCTTTAAATCAGCAAAATTTGGGCATAACAGCAGTTTTGGACACTCTGGGTGCTCAGCCTGGACCAAAGGATTACAGAAAGTGCTAGAAATGTTGTGTTGATGTGCTTGCTTGAAGAAAAAAAAAGATTATTCATTATATTGTATTTATTTTTCTTTGCACACACTGCTTGCCCCGAGGGGTTTGTTTGAAATGTTGGTGTTTTTGGGTCACTAGCTTTGTCAATGCCGTTTTGCTTTCTTTGTGCTGTTTCCTGTTCCTGGATAGATCACTGGACAGGAAGAGCCCTGAAACAATTTGTTGAACTAAATTGAGGAGGAGGGAAGAGAAGGAGCAAAGGCTTCTACTTTAGTCTGTCATCTGGGGCAAAGGAACTGATCCTCAGTTTAGCTAGGAGTGAATAAATAAAGTGCACAGGATTTATAAATTGGGGATTGGTACACATAAGACTGAGCAATATGATCAAAACAGTAGCTATCTCTATGAATGTATGCATGTCACTGCTAATGTATTATGAACTACAAAGCGAAATATGTTTATGTAAAGCCTATAGAAGGGTCCAAAAATGTGAGATGTCCCCCCCAGGCTGGGAGTCACTGCAGGACAACATGAAACATGCACTCAAACACAAGTTTGTGCAAAACCTGATGAGATTCCCTTGATGTCACAGCACTTGGCTGTCTCCGTCTTCAAGACCCTTATTGTTTTCCGTGCGGTTGAGTTCAGACTGTGGAGTAAGGCACATGGTGGCCAGTATACTTCTTGGTTTTCAAGAAGCTCTTACAAAGCTTTAAGTTGTGCTTGTGGTCATTATGTTCTATCTATCCTTCTCATCATCTGGGGTGTCTGAGCCCACCACAAGCATTTGGCCTCTTTGGCCCCTTCAGCTGCACCTTTTCAGGGAATATTTTCTGATTGGAGTCTTGAATTCATACATATACATGAATATCAACTTTTATAGACCAGTGACCAAAACCCCACATAAATTATTAGGAACATTTAATATTTAAAACTCACACCTTTTATGTTCAGGATATAATAAAAGAAAGTTTAATTCATTCATCATGTCATTCCACCATGATTGCATGTTTGACTGAAGAAAATAAACTTGAATGCGCGTCTCTCCAGCCTTTGAATCAGCAGCAGTTCACCCATGGCCAGTTTATAGAAGTGCGTTCATGTGGTCATGGAGAACTCCATCACTGGTGTACTGTCTCCTCGGACGCTTACTTCTGTGGTGGAGAGCATCTGGAGAGGGACGAACCCGAGACAAGTCGACTTCTTTGATTGGCTGCTCAGTCTACGTCAATCATTTGACAGATTTTTTTTTTTTAGCGAACACTGCAATGTCCCTCAGTGTGAGACCCTCTTCTCTGTGAGACCCTCCTCTCTGTGGACTCCGCGGATCAGTCTGTAGTAGAAGGGGCCACCAGCTGCTGCCCGAGAGGACCTTTCTCCACACGGCTCTGTGCTACGCTGTAGCTCGGGACATTCTTCTGGCTTCACGCGGGACAAACCGACAAAATGACTCATTTCAACAAGGGGCCAGCCTACGGACTGTCTGCTGAAGTCAAAAGCAAAGTAAGCGACTTTTCCCCTTTTGTCTGAGAGGGAGACAGTTTCAGAAGCTTTGAGTTATCGGGAGTTTTCCTGACGCGTTTCTAGCTTCACACTCTCAGCCAGTTTCCTCTCGCTCTTTCTCCACATTGAGAGAAGCAGCGGGGGCGAGCCCTGCGTTATCCAGCACGGCGCCTCTTTAATGTCCGCTCGCCTGAAGCAGACGATGAGGAAACTTTCCCGACTTTCCCGACTTTTCCTCGGCCTCTCTCAAGCTCGGCCGGGCGGTTCTATGCAGGAAGCAAACGCACGTTCGCCGACTGGAGAGTAAGCTCCGAATGTAACAATACCCAAACAAAGAGAGCAGAGTGGAATGTGAACATTTAGTGGAAGCGGAGGTTTGGCTGCAGGCCTCCGCGCAGAGCTGAATGGAGTCTGGAACAAGTTAAAGTTCGCTCCAGCGGTTATTTTCTAGAATGTGACCTAATGGCTGCAGATCAGTGAAGAGGCTTCACAGTGGTGTTCAGATAGTCAACCCTGGACTTACACCAAGGTCTCTCCGTGTGATGAAAGCCTTCTCTCTGTTTTTATGGATTCGATCACTGGAGCACGTTTAACCGCAGTTAAGGATTGAACGCTGTTATTGTGATGTTATAATGCACAGTCCACCGTCGTTTACACACTCAGTGATGATTATGATGACGCAGTTCCTATGTGAACTCATTGTTTGTGCAGGACGGATCCTGCACCCGCTGCTGGTGTATGTCTGGCCCCTGGAATATGGACACACTTCATTTCATATTAAAAGAACTGGCCAGAGTGCGTTAGGGGGCCACGCAGCCAAGTGTCAGTTGTGTGAGTTGAAACAAAGAGATGTATGAAAGGTGTGTATCAAAGTTATAGGGACAGAAGCAGACTGCTGGAGTTGAAAAGGAAAAGTACACACACATTACAGTTAAGTGATTTAGTAATCTGTTTCAACTTCATGGCATTTACCTACTTATCTGCCTACTAATGCAAAAAACATAAAACTATTTACCACAACTGAAGTTTTCTTCGTCAACTCTTAAAGGTACAGTGTGTAGAATTTAGTGACAACTAGTGGTGAAGTTGCATGCTGCCGCTGAATACTCCTCACCTCACCCTCCCCTTCCAAACAGGAGAGAGAACCTGTGTTAGCCTTTGGTTGACATTAAAGCTCAAACGGTTTTAGTTTGTAAAAAAAAATAAATGGCGGCCTCTGTAGAGAAGAACCCCTTGATGTAAATATAAAGTATTTAAATATAAAAGCCCCATTCTAGGTTAAAGAAAACAACAATGCGTACAATTTAGAGGAAACACATTAGTGAAAACATCATAAGGATTATTTCACATTCAATTTCAACCAATAGATCCCATTCACCTAAATCTTACAGACTGGACCTTTAAGTTTTGTTTCTGCACTTTTGCAGTTTTACATGTGAAGCAGTTTAAATAAAAATAAAGCTATTTACCTCAACTTGAAGTTGTCTGTCAGTATAATATCAATAAATAAAAATGTATAAAAGCCTTAATCGAAATATGAAACTTCACATTACAAGGTGACTGCTCTAGCTCCTTGTAATATTTGGCAAATGTTGGTGTTTGTTAACATCACCTTTTAAAACGCCTTCCTCAGTCTTAGATGAAGGGGTTTTTGAACATGGCTTTGTTATGTTAGACAGCTTTAAATGCTCAGAGGATGATGGTTGTGATTCTTTCTTCTTTAACTAGAACATAACGCTTTTCTGCTCTTGAATGTACATGTTAAATTGTATCATCAAAATCATCATTTTTATGGCAGTCATGTCTTCTTTCATTAAGTTTCATCACATACTATTTTCATCGAGCCTGAGAAAATGGAGTCATTCGTTTGATCTTAGACATTTTTACACTTATTATGTGATGCACAATGTAGTCAGGTCTCTTAAAATAAACACACGAACCCTGTCTCTAGCCATGACACTGTTGTTTCACATGTTTTGGTAATGTATTATTAGTCAAGCAACTACCCACATTATAAGAGCTTCATGCAAGCATACTGCTTGCTTGTTTTGTATCTTTTGTATTAAAGCTGCAATATTTTAAAGTCAAACCTATGGTGTTTAGCCAGAACTGAAATTACAGGCTAGAACAGAAACAGAAGAGCGATGCAGAAGTAATACAGTAGTGTTCTGTTAGTGGTCATTCCATTAGAATCTCAAGCATGTGTAAGGTCACTCTGGAAAATATTCCCCCAACAGGAAGTGACTCATCTGAACTTTCAGAACTTTTAGGACTGCCATTTGGGAAATGAGCTCTTTGGTCTCTGAACACAGATTAGTGGAGGATTCCACTGTCGTCTTTGTTTGATGTAGATAGTAAATGTATTTGTCCACCTCAGCGTCATATATTTTCAGAGCTCTACAAAGGCCATGTTCTGCAGGACAGCATCTTGCTCCATATTGAGAGAAAATTACATTGCTAATGTGCAAAATCATTTGGATGCACTCCGACCAGGAAAACTCTGTCAATAACAGATCTGAAAACATTCTAGTTGCAGCTCCCATTTATATCCAGTGTTGACTGTCAGTTTTATTTGATTTATTGGCAGTCATATCAGTTGTCACAAATAACGTGAAAAATCTTTTTTTTTGGATTTGTGTGTCTGTGACCAAAAATCATTCGTTTTTCCAACAACTCACAGACACAGAGGACTCTTTTCTTGTACAACCACAACAGTTTATCATTCTCCCTTTTAATTTCATATCAAATCTATCATTTAAGATGCTTTTCTTAATAGTTCTAAAATGTAGTAGCTTGTGAAAAAAAGTTGCACCAACCTCTGAAACTACATTGGTTCTTGTACACGTTTCATGTGTCAATTTGCATATCATCTGCTGCAATGTTCCTATAGGCCTTTTTTGACTATGTTGCCAATTTATTTGGTACATCTTGCTAAACTTGAGCAGAGAAATACCACAGCCCTGCAATAAATCCTCCTTTTATGAAGATTAAAAAGCATAGTCTTCGATTAAACTGTTTTTGCATAGTTGAAATGGAGTGGAAACTCATCATGTAAAATGCAATACATTGCAAAAACAAGTGGCTAAAGCTTCAAATTTGAATAGGGCTGTTGATTTTGTTTGGTATACTAAGCTTCATGAGCTTAGCTAGAGAGCCACTCAAAGCTTAGTCTTGACCTTGGCAAAAGCCATTGAGAAAACAATCTAACCACAAGGTCCACTTCGTAACTATTCTGGAAATAGTGCTCAGAATACAATGGGACATCCACAGTATCAATGAAGTTTGTGTAATGTGATTGGAAGCTCCACTAAAATTACTTTGTGTGAAATAGATTTCTGACTGTGTTTCCAAGTACAGGACTGAACCTTTACTTTTTTACTTTGGATTACAATGTTGACAATAATAAGGTCACTGATGTACTTGGTTTGATTTTAAAGTCCTGATTAGACATCAGACTATTTGGCAAGTTGCAGTTGGTAAAGGTTTTCTAGCAAAGTTTCAGGGAGTGACATCAGATCCGCTTCAGATGTCTGGTGCTGTTTCCAGGCATCTGTTCCACATACTAAATGCAGAGTAGTATTACGATATGAATTTTCCAAAGTAATATGTATATTGTAATGTGAAAGAGATCTTGTACATTTTGAAGCATAATAACGTTTAAAGAGAATATGGAAATTAATCGGAACATACCACTGCTAGATAGGATGATATGACAATATATAAAGTGTAACAACAAAAAAACTTTAATGGTTTTATATTATACTCAGTTTTTTTATTTAGTAGTTTAGTAGTTTATTTAATCACAGATTTTATTACTATTTAATTTTTATTAAATACTATTATTAATATTTTTGTCATTTTGACAGCACTGTCCTTTCAAGACGGTTGCAGGTAAGAAATTTGCATAAAAATGACATTGAGTAGAGTGATTGTGTCACAATTTCATGTTCAAAAATAGTTAAAACTATACTGAAACTATTAATTATATGTAGGCTATATAAAATATTCTCTCTTGGTATTTGAGATTATCACACAGCCTTACTGACAAAGTGTTTTCAACAGCACGAATCACAACAGCATACTTTATTAGTTAAGTGCACTTGAACTTAAACATGTATTTAAGAAATCCAAAAATCATGTGTACTTCAAAAGTACGAGTGTCCTCTGTGTCTACTCTTGGCCTCTTGTTTTTCTTCCATATAAAGTATTCCAGTATGTTTTCCATTTAAAGGCAACTGTGTTCTAAATTTGTCTCCAAATTGTAATGACTGATTTTCTTCCACAACATATGCTCCATTCATTGCAGTGACATGTCCTCTGTCAAAGAGGGCATAAAACAAAGGGTATGGGACAGGCAGGGGCCCATCAGTGTTCCATTGCATAATGCATGATTAGTAATTCATGCTCCTCTCTGAGCTGTGCACATCACATTCCTGAAATTCTTCAGCACAGACCCCTTCATCAGGACCCCATCTATTGGGCTTTTACTCTACTTTTCACTGTGCTTTGAGCCTGGATAGTAGATGTGTTTAAGCTATGAGTAAGTTGTAGCTCACCCGTAGATATACTTTGTGGAATAAACATGTTAATGTACATTAATGAGTTTAAATTAAATATGTAACAGTTTTTAAATGTTTGCTTGGAAATGCTAAACACTCAGTATTTGTGAACCAGTTATGTTATGCATGGTTAAAAAAGTCCTCTGAAGTTGAAAAAACAATTTCTTGAGATTTAGTGGGCTTTGGAACACAGTGACATGCAAAGATAATTCCTGGTATATGAGCGTTTCATATGCCACCAAGCTTTCTATCGAGCAGTATTATACACATCCACATTGTTCTGTGTAGTCTGAGCCTTTGGCCTCACTTAGATTGTCTTTATTCGTGGTTTCACATTCGTTATGATATATGCATTGGTTGATTGTCCCATGTGGTGGATTGTAGCTTTGTAAGCCTCAAGAATATTTGTATAAACATGGTCCATTGTCTTGTTCTCTCAGA